ACAAGCCGTAGACATTAACACTTGGTACAACTTGATGGCCAGTGAAAAGTTTCCATGTCTGAAAACGCCTTTTCCCCGTGTGGGTTTCGGGGCCCTATTATAGGGAAAACAAGAACAGGCCCACTGCCTATCTAAAAGCATGTCGTAAGAGTCGACTAATTGGGAGCTTCCTCCGAAGTCAAAGTGCATTAGCTTGAGAGGCAAGGAACCAACAGTTTGCACACAAATGAGTCAGATATGTCAAATGGATGCACACGCATCACTCAGGTTCTGGAACAGGACTGCAGTCTAGAAGTGGACTAACAACCAGAACTCTCCACCAGAGTTTACAGCTGGGGAACGCTAAGAAGAATACGCCTTTACAATCACGAGATGCTGTTGTGTTGCTTCTCGCACAGATTACAGAATGTTTTTTCTGGCAACATTCAGCAATCAAGATACAGGTCACTGCTATGAAACAAGACCCTCCATAGAGGCTGTTCCGTCGACCTAGTGCCGCCATTCGCAGATCCATGCTGCTATCCACATTGATAACGCAACAGTATCTCATTTTGGGGCGTAGTAACAAGTTGTGAGTTGAGAATCGACACCATTGAGCTCGGAACATTATTATAATCACTCCGATCTCACCTTCAGCAGCAAGCGCAAAGTTCCTATTTTGGGTGTATTAAAAAAAAAAAACAGTCAGTGAAAAGACTTTTCCATACCACTTGCGCATCAGACATATTGTGCTAATCCCATTTTTGTATAGATGCTAATCGGTACTCAAAAGCTGATGTAGTCTTATTGACGGCGGTCGCCTTCACTTCCTATGGCATTGTCTTGTACTCAAGTTAGGTTGGATCGACCTGGGAGTCCAGGTCAATTACAAAAGTTCCTCACGATGTGGAGTTGAACTCTAGACCTTTAGGTCACTGGGCAAATATTCAGCCACTGTGCCATCTCGGCCTCAGGGAGGCTTCGATGGTTAGTGAAGTGATTATTTTCTAGAAGGATGCATAACACATTAAACAAACCAGGGCCTGGTCTCTGACTTCTTATTTTCAGCATTATTGTAAAAGACACTTTGTGGTGCGTACCGGCACCTTTTATTAGACACCTTGTTGTGCGTACCGGTACCTTTTATTAGACACCTTGTTGTGCGTACCGGCACCTTTTTTTGTTTGACAAAAACAACTGTCACATTTTCTGTAAAATCACTCAATATGACGCGGGAAAGCTGGCCATTCACCAGCAGTTAAAAAATAACAGGCGATGGTGTAGTGGTCAGACCAGAGCTTTTCAACTAGAGGTCCGCAGAAGCCTAGTAGTTGGGTCCGTGAAACATTGCCAAAACAGTGATCTTTCTATGCTTGGGCTCCATAACGATACCTATTTTCAACATTTAGCCTCCAAAGTTAAGTTAGTTGCGTATCCTTTACAGGACGTTGCAGAACCAACCCCAACAGCCCCTGGCCGTTGTGTGGTTTTTCTAGGCAAATTTACGTCCAGTAGTTTGCCAGTACTTCTTGGACGGTCGGTTTTCTTGATACCACTGTCGAAACCAACGCAAGGTGCATGGCCCGCAGCTGGGATCGAACCCGGCATCCCGGCGTTACGAAGCGTTCGCATCGACTTAGCCACAGAGCCGACGGCCTCCAAGGTAAGCAGTTGAAAAGTTCTGTGCTAGATGTCGCCTGCTGGGTGGTCTAGGGTTCAAATCCTCCATCAATTAGTATTGTTACTTTTTTTAATACTGACCTCGGCACTCCGGTCGACCGAGTTTGAAATGGTTCCCAGACAACAATGCCAGCGCAGATAAAACATGAGCGGGTGAAGGCGGAAGGGGGAAGGGGGGTTACCCCTCGCTGTGATTCACATGTTTCAGACGATAAACGGGAGCGGGCTCACATGTCTTAATCCTAACAACAATAACAACTACAAGAACAACAACACATGGCTGAATCATAACTAGATGTAATAATACATCTGAAAAAAAAATGAAACATTCATATATATATATATATATATATATATATATATATATATATATATATATATATATATATATATATATATATATATATATATATATATATATATATATATATATATAAGAGAATGTCTATATATGGTTTAAGGTGCCTACTTAGCCTCTTTGCAACATTCGTGGTTGGGGGGGGGGGGGGAAGAGGGGGGAGAGGGGTTGCTAAAGCGCCCAATAAAGAAAATATTTGGAGGAATAAAGAAAAAGAAAGCAGTGATCTGAAGGAGTGGAACGAGTTAAAGAAATTAAAGGAGAGAGAGAGAGAGAGAGAGAGAGAGAGAGAGAGAGAGAGAGAGAGAGAGAGAGAGAGAGAGCAATAAATTGTACCTCCCCCTTACGTAAGAACAAAACACAAACTTGTGACCTAGATATTTAATATACGCTGTACAAAGCTACCAGTCCATCGCATTGCGCATTTCAGTCTCACCGGTGATCTAGTTGTTTGAATACATAAGCTAACTTTCAGTGTGAAGTTTGTGTTAAAATACCATAAAATTTAATTTGAAACCATCAGTAAATTAAAAAATTAGTAATAATTACAAGTTCGAAACTTTTAATTTTGCTAGATTTACATTCTCTCTGTGCGCAGATTTAGCATCTCCAGAAAAGAACTGAGAATTTTGAGGGCAGAACAACAAATGCTACTCAAATCAATCAGACAAGGGGAAAGACAAACTCAGTTTAAAAGATACAAAAGTCATCATCATCACCACCACCATCATCCTTGTGTGTCATTATACTTATGTGTTACATTGGCCTCGCAGTTTTTTTTTTTAAAGTATTTTTTCCCTGTACAGTGAAGATAACAAACTATGCAGATTTAAATGGGGACAAACCTTATATAAGGAACATATACTAGAGAAGCGAGATATCGGAAAACAAGGAAAGAAATTGGCTGAAGAATAAAATATAAGCAGCATTAACTTTAAGAGTATTAAAGATAAGTTGAAAGAAAATGATTTATAATATATAAATTATATTTTACTGGCTATAGACTGGACTATGAAAACATTAACTGTTAACACCAAGAATGGAATTCAGTGGACCCCTACTTATTACGTATTATAATAGAGCAAAGTATTGAAATGAACTCACCACTTTACTTTTAATTTATAGGCTGTGAAAAAGCATTTGAAAGCATTGATAGGGAATCTCTCTGGAAATTGATGGGGCACTATGGAATCCCACAGAAAACTATCAATTTAGTTAAGGCAACATATAAAGACATGAAATGTCGAGTTCTTCATGAGGGAAAGCTAACAAATGCATTTAAAATAAAAACATGTATGCGACAGGGATGTCTTTTGTCGCCTCTCTTATTTTTACTGGCTATAGACTGGACTATGAAAACAGTAACTGCTAACACCAAGAATGGAATTCAGTGGACCCCTACAAAACAGCTTGATGATCTGGACTTCGCTGATGATATTGCTTTTCTGTCACATTCACGGAATCAGATGCAAGATAAATTAAATATACTTGATGCGAGAAAATCCATAAAGGAAAGACAAAGATAATGAGAATAAATCAGGCAAATAGTAATGTGGTTTCTCTTTATGGCACCCTACTTCAAGACGTGGAGTCGTACACCTATTTAGGCAGTAATGTAGATAAAGATGGAGGAACTGATAGAGATATTAAAATAAGAATACAAAAGGAAAGAGGGGCTTTCATAGCACTAAGGAATTTGTGGAGGTCAAAAGAAATTAAAAGAAATACTAAACTAGAAATTTTTAATTCTAATGTCTTTTCAGTACTTTTGTATGGGGCGGAAACATGGAGAACAACCAAGGCAATTACTAATAAATTACAGACATTCATTAACTGGTGCCTGCGCAGAATAGAGGGAATTAAATGGTATGATAGAATAACTAATGTAGAACTTTGGGAGAGAACTAAACAGGCTCCAGTGGAACAAGAGGTGAGGAAAAGACGCTGGCGCTGGATAGGACACAAACTGAAAAAACAGGAGAACAGCATAACTAGAATGTCTTTGCATTGGAACCCACAGGGCATAGGAATAAAGGAAGGCCAAAAACACACGGAGAAGAGAGCTGGATAATGAAGTTAGAAAGATGGGGAGGACATGGGGAGAGCTCCATGTAATGGCGAAGGATAGAACGACTTGGCGTGAGTTGATTTAGGGCCTATGCTCCATTGGGGGATAGAAAGGCAGAAGAAGAAGAAGTACAAGTACGAAGTATTGCACGGGGAAGATGAATGTTTATGTCTATCGGTTATGGTTGGTTGCTCAATATTGTGCAGCTTATGTATCACTTTTATGTGATTGTAGAAGTATATATTGTCAAATTCAATATATTTTATGTGTACTTTCAAACAGTTATAAAAATTGTATTGTGCCGTCTATCTTTGCGAATGTTTAAAGTGATCCGTGACACTATTATTCTCTCAGGATGTACTAACATTTCATTTGCTAATCCCAAGAACACGCATACACATCCAATATCAAAACAGTAAGTAAAACCCCCTGTATGCAACCTAATTATAGCCCAAATGGATTGAAATGGATATCGTTGTTCAAAATACTACCACCACCACCATTACTACTACTACTACTACTACTACTACTACTACTACTACTACTACTACTACTACTACTACTACTACTACTACTACTACTACTACTACTACTACTACTACTACTACGTTTATTACCACCACCATCATTACTACTGCTACTACTACAACAACAACTACTACTACTGCTGCTGCTGCTGCTACCACTACAACAGCAACTACTACTACTACTGCTGCTGCTGCTGCTACCACTACAACAACTACTGCTGCTGCTACTACTACTGTTGAGATAATTTGATCGGCATTTCTAAATCGCCCAAAGTTTGGAAAAAAATCTGGAGTGCCAGTAGAACAACCATTTTGGAATTTCTGCTGCTCCAAGTTCTGGACATTTCTTCTGTGACTGCTCACTACTTGTTTTCTCGGAGACAGGCTGATGGCAGGGCTACCTCGTAGAATAATCAAGGTAGTTACGTTGTAACAGAATGTTTTTGTTGTTGTTTGTATACATGTTGTGCAACAAACCCGACAGACAACAACGTTTAATCGAAGAATTAGGTTAGGTGCAAGCTCAAAATAACAAAATTTATTGAGTCCGCTCGGTTCCTGGAAATTCATTCATTCTCAATCTCATTCATGTGATTGTTGATGTTTTCCACATTATTGATTATACTAATTATAGATTTTTTACATTTAATTTGCTTTATAATATAATAGATTTACCAAGACAAATTTTACATAATGAAATTCAGAGTTATCTATGTACAGCAAAGGTGTATATGTAATTCGTAATCCGTAATTGTAAATGTTATTAAATATTATTATTATTATTGTAATTAAATTACTTAACCAGGCTAATACTAATATTATTAATATTGTTTGTTATTAAATTATTTAAAATACAAACAACGAATCTTAGAATGTCAGTGAAGAAATTAAGAAGAATTTGGAAGCAACATACAGAGATGTGGTTTCTGCGAGGAATGTAATGTTACAGATAGATGCCATGGACGGCTAGAGAAACTGTTTGAAAGAAACTAATGAAAGTAAGTCTCTGTATACTGTATACATCAGGAAGAGGGAGGCAAACATTGTTCTTTGGCCAGCTAATGAGAAGAGAGGCATTGGAAAACATTGTGACAACTGGAGAGATAAGGGGAAAGAGGGGTAGAGGCAGACCAAGAGAGATGATGCTGAATAAGCTGAAACGATGGCATGGAGGGCTTCAAGAGAGCTGCTCCAGGCAACCAGGGTCATGATCAGTGGAGATGAGTGAGCACCCACGCTAGTTGGCAGGGTACATGATGATGATGATATTAAAATGAAGTCACTGACACTTCATAACTTGCGTTATTTATAAAAGTTATAAACATTAAATTTAAAACAATGGAACAAAGAGGCATAGTAAATTGAAAAATTCAGTTAACTGTGGGACTGTTATCATCAAGTACCATGCTGGTAAGTATAGGCAGCTATGTTTTGCCAACTCACACCATCACCAGAATCACTGATCAGTTCAATGTTTTTGTCCCGCTCCATCATCTGGCCGGGCCCTTCAGGTATTATCCCTTTGCCTTCCTCTTGCTCTCTTTCCAGCAATCCTGCCAATTGTTGCCCAGCTCTTGAGTCCATTCCTTCTCTTAATATGTCTAGAAAATATTGATGTCTATGTCTAATTATTCTAAAAGTGTTTGATTTTTATCAGTCTTAATGAGGACTGCTTCATTTGATTTCCTTTTCTTTGTATTGTTCTCTGACACCACATCTCTGCTGCGAGTAAATGTTTCTTGGGCTTGCCTGCTCACTGCCAGTGTTTGACATGCATATAACAACACAGGTTCTACATAACACTTTAACTCTTTGAGTTCCAGGGTTTTTTGTGTCAGAAGACCAAAGGGTGGTAATGCAATTTTGATATGCCACAAGTGTAACAAGCTTTGGATAAATCTGATAAAAGCCACAAGTGTAACAAGCTTTGGATAAATCTGATAAAAGCCACAAGTGTAACAAGCTTTGGATAAATCTGATAAAAGCCACAAGTGTAACAAGCTTTGGATAAATCTGATAAAAGCATGTTTTATTTAAATTTGAGGTTTCTAACATCATAAATCTTGTTGACATACATAAAGTCATCTGCTCGGAAGCCATATTGTTTTTAGATAGACACTTAGTAACACAGTAAAGCTCACAAACATAATATATTTTATGCTTTTAACCATGTTTCCAAATCAACCTAATGGTCAACACATGTATTATTGAACACAAAGAAGAGGAAACACCATTCTAAACTGTTAGCGTTTTTATGCAACAAAAATAGGAAAGAATACACTGGAGTAGTTAGAAAAGTGTTGATTTTTTTCCAGCTTGCATGAGAATAGTTTGTTTTCTGCTACTTCTTAATGGTCAAATCTTGACAAAAAGTCAGCCAACTGTACCCCGGTCATGTCTCTGAGCCTACTGAACACAAACTAGAGTCTAGCTAATTGGAGGTGTTGGAGGTATTACTGATTAAATTCCAGTTCATGTTTTAGTCAGTCAGGTTCTGCCTTCATATTGAAGTTGGCTGCAAGGGATCTCCAACAAATCATTTTACTTGAGGTTGTACACTGAATACTGTTATTCCATCTCTTGATGTTATCCTCCCACTTGTAACATATTGTCTACATGTTGCCTTCAAATTTTCACTCTTGTATTATGTATGGTTTTAAAAGAGTGTTGGCCATCTCATTATTATGTGTTAGGTGACATCTACAATAAGTACTGACTCAGGTGCAAGACCTGAAAAGATCTTTTGTGAGAACAAGAAAGCACTCAAGGAGAAGATGTGTTGATGACATTAAGGAAATTCTGCATTCCACATGGAGTGGCAGCAGCCTGCCCACCGAGCAGTGGATGGAAAACTGTTCCTCCCCACAACACTTCATAGCAAAAGTAGATGTTGATAATGGTAATTATTTGTAAAAGATAGTGAATGAGTCGACCAGCTGCAAGAAATGTACCAATGCATGTGCAAATAAATATGGCCAGAGCTGAAACCAGTTGGCACTTTTCCACCCTTCCAGATGATAGTGTTATAGTGTGCTATGGGAAGACATGGGAATCGCAAGCAGATGGCGATGGCAAGTGTGACTGGCAAGACCTGCCCTTGTCAGGAAAAGTCTTCCACAATTAGAGCGTGGGGTTTCAGGACGGACATCACATGTATTTAGTGTGCTGACGCTAAGACACTCAGCTCTCAACCTGTCTGAAATCATTGTTCCTGTTCTCTCTCAATACTGTCCATGTCATTCCACCCCCCCCCCCCCACACAATCTAGCTCAACATCTGTATCATTCATACCCTGCTTGACATTGCCTAAGCTGGTGGATAATGGCAGGTCTAATACGAACAGGATTTTGAGACCTGGGGTTAAAGCCTGGTGAAGCTTGTCTTCGAGGTAAGGGTAGGAGAGACATAAGCAACTACTCATGGGAACAGTCAGTAGAGGTATTTTGTGGGCGGCTGCTACATTGGAGGTCCGGGCATATATGTGAATGCCTTGTGTGCAGTTGTGTTGATTAGATGATCAGTAGTGGTACCTTGGGGTGGAGGTGGCAGCTGCATGCGAAGACTGAGCACAAATGGGAATACTCTGTTTGCATGCATCAGTTAGATAATACTCCAGTACCAGCACTGATATTAATCTGTTGATGACAGTGATAAACCAACTACCTGCTGAGACCGAAGCCCTACTTCCAGGCGCTGCAGACTCCCTCTTTAATATGTGATGTTTGAATTGTTTCAGGAGACTCAGCGACTTATAGCCGAACCTGTAGCTGGAATAACAGCTATACCAGATGATGAGAATGCCCGGTACTTTCATGTCGTAGTGGCTGGTCCATCCCAGGTATTTAGCTTTGTGTGATATCTGACTCCATGGGAGCACATCTGCGACATTACCAGTTATTGTTCTCCGTGGAAGCATATCTGTTATATTACCAGTTATTGTTCTCTTTGGAAGCACATCTGTTATATTACCAGTTATTGTTCTCCATGGAAGCACATCTGTCATATTACCAGTTATTGTTCTCTATGGAAGCACATCTGTTATATTACCAGTTATTGTTCTCCATGGAAGCACATCTGTCATATTACCAGTTATTGTTCTCAATGGAAGCACATCTGTTATATTACCAGTTATTGTTCTCCATAGAAGCACATCTGTCATATTACCAGTTATTGTTCTCAATGGAAGCACATCTGTTATATTACCAGTTATTGTTCTCCATAGAAGCACATCTGTCATATTACCAGTTATTGTTCTCTATGGAAGCACATTTGTTATATTACCAGTTATTGTTCTCCATGGAACACATCTGTTATATTACCAGTTATTGTTCTCCATGGAAGCACATCTGTTATATTACCAGTTATTGTTCTCCATGGAAGCACATCTGTTGTATTACCAGTTATTGTTCTCCATAGAAGCACATCTGTCATATTACCAGTTATCTTACTCCATGGAAGCACATCTGTTATATTTTATCTTTTTCTGTGGTCACATATTTGTTTTAATATCAGTTGTCTTAGTCTATGGTAACATTTCTGTTAATTATCAGTTATCTAATATCTTACTTCTTTGTGGTATGTTCTTGTGGCTTCTATACAGTGACATGTTCTTGTGGCTTCCATTGTGGCTTCCAGACAGTGATGTGTTCAGACAGTGGTATGAAAGTTACACCTTGGCAAAGACAGTAATAGTAGATAGAAATATCCACTGCTTCCAATCTCCACTACAGATGCAGCACATGCAAGTTTAATCTTCGTTTATCTGTGTGTGTGTTTGTGAAGTGATTCATGATTCACACTCATATTTTGCCCACAGAAGAGATGCATGTTTAAAAATGGTGCTCTCAAAGCCATCTGTGAAGAACATGGCATTGTGAATAGGCTTGGTAGAAATGTACAGAAAATGCATTTTTAGACTTGGCACCTGTGTGAGTTCCCGTGCCTCATTTGAGGAAAAAAAAAGTGTTTGGGGGGGGGGGGGGGTGGGGACTGCCTTCCTAACAAGCATGTTTTAAAAGTGACTAATTAGGGGTTTTTCCTTTGAAGTCAGAGTACATCTGCCTGAGAGGTAAGGAATTAAAAGTCTGCAAACAGGTAAGTCAAATCTGTGAAACGGATGTGCACGCAAAACTCAAGTTCTGCATCAAGACCAAGGTCCTGAAGTGGGCGAACAACCAGAACTTTCTGCCATAATTTATAGCTGGTGAATGCTAGGAAATAGAAGAAGACTCAGATGGGGTCGTTGCAAACATGAAGCACACCTACATCCTGCTAACTGTGCCACATGCAGTTGTGGTGCACCAGAGCATTGCAAACATGAAGCACACCTACATCCTGCTAACTGTGCCACATGCAGTAGTGGTGCACCAGAGCATTGCAAACATGAAGCACACCTACATCCTGCTAACTGTGCCACATGCAGTAGTGGTGCACCAGAGCATTGCAAACATGAAGCACACCTACATCCTGCTAACTGTGCCACATGCAGTTGTGGTGCACCAGAGCGTGTCTCACAGGAATACCCAGACTTTGCCAGAGAGAAGAAATCTGGCTACGGGAACAGCCATGCAAGAAAAATTACAGTGCTAAAGACCTCAAGCGCATCATGCTGTTTGTGTCGATGCTTAAACTTGAAAGTTAACGTCAAGAAGATCAACTTCATTGTACTGGGTTGTATCCCATATGGCTTTGTCTCTGTTTGCTGTTAGCCGTCTTCCGAGCGCATCATACAAGGCACAAACTCCAGTGAAGATCACCAGAACCTCAAAGGTGGTTTAGACGTGCTTCACCATGCTTTACTCCGTAAAAAGTCCACCCATTATCTGATCAGCGCAGCCTTGAAATGAACCCACGACCTTCAGAGCACAAAGCAAATGGCTTGACTTCTTTGTTTGCCTTGGTGCCCTATGCTGCAGTAGAGGATAGCAAATGTTGACACCTGGGGAGAAAAAAACTTTGTTTAACGTAGTGTATGGTCAGAAAATGGTACTGATCTTCAATGTGTCTTTTAACAAACAGGATTTTCTGTTATTTTATGCAGACATAATGCTTCTGAGTAATTTACTGGTAATCTTCTCTTGTCACTAGTCTCCTTATGAGGGAGGTCTGTTCAAGCTGGAGCTGTTTCTACCAGAAGAGTACCCCATGTCAGCACCCAAAGTGAGGTTCATGACCAAGATATACCACCCCAATATAGACAAGTTAGGGAGAATATGTCTGGATATCCTCAAAGGTGGGTTGTTTAATTTTATGGATATAATAAACAAAAAAATGCATTGTTTTATAGATATATGACTCCCTCCAACGTGAAAAAGAAATATAACTGAAAAGAGGAGCACAAAAAGAAAATGCCAAGCACTGGTGATAAGATCTTGGAGGAAAACATAAACATTAATCAGTGTCAAATAATACTTTTACTGGTTTTTTTAAAATAAATAGTTTGAAAGAATCTGTTATTTATAGGAAAACTAAAAAAAAAAGTGTTGATACAAGTGGAAATGAACTCAGTTTTTAAACTGCTTGACCCCTCCTTTACATTTCCATGCGGCCCACTCCTTAGGGATGCTGTGACCCCTTAGGGCCGCTGTGACCCCCTAGGGCTGCTGTGACCCATAGGCTGAAAACCTATCTACACAGATTAGTCCCTGAAGTACAGGTCAAGGTCAGTATGGCATACAGAGCACAAGGATGGGGGAAAAAACACAATCAAACAGAATAGTGACAGTTACCAGACTTCTTGTATCATGCATGCATGAGCAAGCCATTTCTGAAGCACTAGCACAAGCAGTGGAACAACAGTCCCACATGCTAATCATATCTAACTCTATAAACATGCTTCAGAAAATTGCACTATGTAGAATATGCTCAGAATGAGCAGAAAGCATTAGGAAAATCACACTTAACCTCCCCCGCCTGGATTTACACACCTGGCTTTGCTGGAGGCAAAGGTAATGAACCAGCAAACAAACTGGTAAACAAAGCACCAACGCATGTGGGAAGAAGTATGAACAGAGCTCATATCAAGGCTGTACGGGGACTGGGATAGCGGATACAAATGAATCTCTGACACTAACATGATTGCGTGACTTGGGAGTAAAGCATGGTGAAGCACGTCTAAACCACCTTTGAGGATGAAATGGGAGACATTTAACCAGCTCCTCATGAGAATATGCAGCGGGCACCGCTAACACAGTTGTTGAACTCAACACCGAATTATAGTGAGAACAAACCTTATGATTAATGCTTTGAACAATGGATCAACATTACGGCACAAGGATAGTAACCCATAAGTGCTCCGTTCTATTTCTAACTCAAGCTGAATCCAAAGAATCTCAGCGCAGTGAACAAACTCCACAGCACCGGTGAGGATCCTGAATTACTTTAGGTAGATTTTCAACTCCAAATTTAGCCTGGGCAGTGCTATTATGCTACTCTTTTCGATTTCCAACTGCTAAGGAATTTTTTTAAACATGTTCAACAATACACAGGCGTCCGATCTTTCTACCCAGAGACAGTGAAATTGCTAGAAGTCCACATGAAAAAATCCCAGCCTTCACCGGGGCCTGAACCCAGGACCTCCAGCACCTAAGGCGGACGCTATGCCTCGAGACCACTCGGCCCCTGATGTCTTTATGAAACAAATTAAGGAAACTAAAGAAGTTTATGAAGTCATCAGTGAAGGTGACAGGGACTTTTAATGGCTAAAGAACACACTGACATGGCATACAAAATAAAACTAAGCTTTCAGTCTTGTACTATAACTAACTGTCACTTTGCATGTCTCCCTTCTCTCCAGTTCAGCACTGATGTCCAAACGTCCACCAGTACGCAATTATGTGTCTTTCAAAACAACCCCACCCAAAAAAAAAAAAAAAGTTGAATACCTATAATTTGGTCCATGCCTTTGAAGGACACACATATAACTTGGTTCACTAAAGAAAGACAGGAGCTACATTAGCAAAGTGGCTGGATCCTCATGGAGATTGTTTCTCTTTTTTATTTTAATTTTTTTTTTCAAAATTGACCTTGGCTCCCAGGTCAGCCCAGCCTAAAATGGGTACCTGGGATGTAAAGGCGGCCGGCGTGATGTTAGCCACATCAACAACTAAGTGCGATTGGTCTGTAAAAAATATAGATCTAGAACTGTAAGCCTGATGCTGCTGAGGCACGAAAAGAGTCCTTACCTGACTTTACTTAAAGAGAGATTGGGAAATCTTCTTCTTCTTTGCGTTCAGTTTTGTATGCTCAGATCAGACCATCAGGTGGGTTGCCTCTATAAACTCACATGTCACTGGTTTCCCCAAACTTTGCTCTTGAGGCCAGGTGTCTTTTCAAAGTTGCAGGTAGAGTGGGCAGGTCTGCAGAATGTGCTTTGGTGCTTGTGGTCCTGTTTGACAGGCACACTGTAGGGACTGTACAGTCTTTATTTTATGCATGTGGTAGTTGAGCTTGCAGTGTCTTGTTCGTAGACCGAAAATTGTTGTATGCTGCTTCTGTAAGATTGGGAAATAATACATTACTGTTATTGATGCCGGGAATTAATTTAGTGAGCAGATCGTCTTTATTGTACATCAGACTGTTTGGATCACCTTCTCAGTACATCCTTCAGCTGACAAGATTGGCTGTGTTCTTACCTGTTTGAAATGTAATGTTCGCAGTCCTCTTAAGTGTGGAACAACTCACAGTGGCCGCATTCAATGATCATCTTTTGACTTCTGCCTGGAGAGGCTGAGCACCTGCTGCCTTGTTGGGAGTGCAGTAAAATCTTCTTCAGTATAACCGTGACCCAGAAATAAAAACAAGACATGACATAAGCTATCTCTGCAATCAGGTGAAGATGATGAGATCTGTTTGCATTTAACTGTTTTATTTCTAAGTAAACTCTTCCTGTCTGACAGATAAATGGAGCCCAGCACTGCAGATTCGAACAGTTCTGCTCTCCATTCAGGCATTACTTAGTGCTCCAAATCCTGACGATCCACTAGATAACAGCGTGGCTGAACATTGGAAATCTAATGAAAAGAGTGCTATTGAACAAGGTAGGTTGTTAAAACTACCATTCAAGCTGACATCGTCTGCATCATTCTGTGCAGGCTGATAAGTATGTTTTGCCATCTCATACGATAACCAGAATCACTGATCATATAATGTGGTGAATTCCCGGGGAAATCCCAGAGTTCCTGATTTGGGGGACAAGAACGAGCACCCAACTTGCAATGTGCTCTGCTAGGGGTTTGATTCAACTCTTCACATTGCTATAATGACGTTCTTAGGTACACACAGTTGCTAAGAATACACCAGACGACAAACGTTCAGTTATTGATCTTTATTTGCTGTTACCACAATTGTACTGTCCATGCGCTCCTTGCGTTCTCGTGGTTGCTACGCCTGGCTGATTCTTGATGACCTTGTCAACTATTTCACACAGTGATTCTCTCTGCCATCACCTTTCTGATCATATGTCTGTATCATACTAACATATTGTACCTAGTACTCGTGCACAGTTGAAACTTGCAATCAGGAAACATTCATTTCTGCTCTCGAACAAGTACACGTGGTCAGACATTCTGCATTCTCATCAGCTGTTCTCTCACATTCGACCACACACACCCATGTCTGAATTTCAACTGCCTTCCTACCCTCTCTGGGTTCACATCTTCCGTTCCAGTCTCACGCTTTCCTCATATCCCTCATTCACTCACCATGAGATACTCGAGACCTGCTTATCTCCCTTTCCTCTTGTTTCACTGGTCCTCTGACCTTGTCCCCCAATCGGGGGATTTTCCCGGGAATTCACATTACAGATCAAGACATCTCTTGTCCCGCTCCAGCCTCCATATGGGTAAGCCAAACAGCTATTGATCTTTTGGCCTTCCTCTTGTTCTCCTTCCGCCAATCTTGCCAGTTGTAACCAAGTTCTCAAGTCCTCTCCTTCTCATAACAGGTCCAGAACACTGGTTGTCTTCATCTGAGTTCTGTAGTCAGTTGACAGTTTTCATCCATCTCAAGGAAGACTGCCTCGTTTTTCTATCTCCATGATATTCTTTGCATTCTTCTCAGAAACTACATCTCCACTATGAGTAAGTATTTTTCAGCTTTGCTTAATGTCCATGTCTCACATGTACACTCACAACATCACAGGTTCTCTTCATTTTGTTCACTGCAGACATCGTTGCCAAGGAACGGCAGGTACTTGTGTAGATCACCTTATTCTGCATGACGTGAACTCTTGTAGCTTCTCCAACACACTGGGCCAGCACTATGATTGCCCTTTTGTTGGAGACTTGGATTGTAGATGACCTGGTTCTGCCTGTTTGCTTATACACCCAAATAATAGCACAGCTGCAGTTTCTCTCAGACCAGAACATGTCAAAAAAATGTCAGAACAGTCTAACATCAGATTCAGAACATGTCAAACAAATGTCAGAACAGTCTAACATCAGATTCAGAACATGTCAAACAAATGTCAGAACAGTCTAACATCAGATTCAGAACGTGGCTGTCATTGCTCTGTAGACTGTATCTTCTTTAATACATTTATTCGTTACATCCGCACAAGCACAGTATACTTCTATTTCTCTCATCGCAATTTACTAACACTCACAGCTTGTGCCAGCGAGCGTGCAGACTATCTTGCTGACACTGCAGTTGCTATGGCTAGTCCAGTGCTGGACAGAAGTGATGTTATCATTGCAATGGGTTGCACTTAATCGTACTGAGGAGCACGCCAAAGAATTTTACTCTGTATCCCTGTCTAGACTGATGGACTTGGGGGTGCAGCCTGGAGCTGCAAGAAATGAACATTTCACTAAGGGGGCAAGGTGTTTCATTAACCAACACAGAACAGGCGTCATCAGTCGTTTTACACTTGTGGAGCTTTTGAAGAGGAGATCGGGAGCACCTGTGGATCTGTCTGGAGTGCTGTGATGATAATCCTTTCTAATCACTAATTTAATGTTACCCCTGCATCACTGGATCTCTTGTCTTCAAATGACCACAAACTCAAATAGTTGTTTTGAACTATAGTATCTAATCCATGTTTGACACAGCACCTATTGACTTGCACTAGCTGGGCTTTTAACTTCTGCTGTCTTTCTGCTAGAATTATTCTTCCATTGGTATTCCCTCCAGGCAGCTCTACTTGTTTACAGTTCTCCATCTGAGTTGTATATGAGTAGATGTTGTTGTGTAACTGTTGCTGCATGTTTCCAGTATAAGTCTGATATCTTTTCCATCTGATTCTATATTTAGTATACATGCAGTTAGCTGTGCCATATATTGACCAGCTGAACTCAGGCTAAATTCCTTTTAGACCTAATTCTTTTTCTTTGTCCTCCTCATCTTTCTTCCTCTTTTTCTTTAACATCTTCCAATTATCCTTAAAATTGCTGTTAGCCTGCTATGATTTACAGCTAAGCCTATCTGATTTAAAAAAAATCCTAATTAATCATTTTTCACAACATGCTTGTTTGGGAGGGGGGAGTAGTGGTGGTTTTGCACTCTGTGCCCCCACGCCCCTATTTTTCCTTAATAGGGCATGTGGAACCCACACAGGAAAGCCTAATTTATGATTGGTTGAATTTTGTTGCTAAAGTCTTCTGTGAGAGGATGTAGTCAGTCTCTTGCCAACCCTCCTGTATGACCTCTTAGACATCTAGGGTAGGTTATGTTCAGTCATATAATACATGGAACATTGTACACTCATCTGACTCTGTAATCTCTCCTTTACTTGCAGCACGACAGTGGACACAGCTCTATGCCAGATCCAACAGTGTCAACAGTCACTGAGAGCAGATGCCCCTAGTTTTCAAGTTCATGTTACTGAAGATGTTTGATCATTGTCTGTCGGAGCGCCACCATACTCCGCCTGGGGCAACTTCTTGGTGGTTGTACATACATACAGAAGAAAAAAAAAGCATATTTTGACTTGCATAAATAAGAGTGCTGCCATGTGTATGTGTGTGCCAGTTTATTTATGGTTGTTGTTTTATGGTAAGGTGGCTATTGAATGTGGCTGGTTTGTTGCCAGATGTACTTCTTGTACGGACATATATTCACATATTTGGTAAATGTTTTTTTAGGTGGGGGTTGGTTAATCTGAGGTTGTGCTGGCACAGTGGGTAGTTTCCTCACTGACCAACCAAATGGTCGAATTTGGTTAATCTAGAACTAATTATTTTAATGTGAGTAGTTCTCTGATTTAGTGAAACTAAAGCTGTGGCAATGATATGGGTAGTCCATTTGCTGACCAACCATTTAGTTAATTTAGAAATCTAAGGCCTTGATGATGTGGTTAATAATAATTTTTGACTCATTAGAGGTCTCATTTATTTTATTTAAAACAATTCTGGCAGTTGTCTATGGCTAGGGAATTATGAAGGTAGTTTCATAATTCTGGCCCACCGGTAGATATCAGCTGCAGAGACCAGTTTATGCTGAGTTTGACCACATTAAAACTGTTGAACAGTTAGGAAAGCAGTGGCAAACTACTGGTAAAATTGCATAGTGATTCCTCAGACAGACAAATACTAGTGTCAGTTTGTGACAGCCCGTAAACTAATTGAATTCCATGTTGATACAGTAGGTAGTTCACTCTGTGACTAGCCTGTGGTCCGGTAGATAGTTCACTCGGTGACTAGCCTGTGGTTCGGTAGATAGTTCACTCGGTGACTAGCCTGTGGTCCGGTAGATAGTTCACTCGGTGACTAGCCTGTGGTCCGGTAGATAGTTCACTTGGTGACTAGCCTGTGGTCCGGTAGATAGTTCACTCGGTGACTAGCCTGTGGTCCGGTAGATAGTTCACTCGGTGACTAGCCTGTGGTTCGGTAGATAGTTCACTCGGTGACTAGCCTGTGGTTCGGTAGATAGTTCACTCGGTGACTAGCCAGTGGTTTGGTAGATAGTTCACTTGGTGACTAGCCTGTGGTCCGGTAGATAGTTCACTCGGTGACTAGCCTGTGGTTCGGTAGATAGTTCACTCGGTGACTAGCCTGTGGTTCCGTAGATAGTTCACTCGGTGACTAGCCAGTGGTTCGGTAGATAGTTCACTCGGTGACTAGCCTGTGGTCCGGTAGATAGTTCACTCGGTGACTAGCCTGTGGTCCGGTAGATAGTTCACTCGGTGACTAGCCAGTGGTCCGGTAGATAGTTCACTCAGTGACTAGCCAGTGGTCCGGTAGATAGTTCACTCGGTGACTAGCCAGTGGTACAGTGGGAGGCTGCGTGGTCTCGAGTCATGGTGTCTGCCTTGAGTGCTAGAGGTTCCAGGTTTAATCCCCCGGTATGGGCTGGGATTTTTTCACGTGGACTTGGACTTTAGCATTTCCTGTGGTCTCTGGGTAGTGAGATCGGATGCCCTTATACATTGTTGTGCACATAAAAAAATCCCTTGGCAGTTGGAAATAAAACAAGAGTAGCCTAGCGGCGCTGCCGAGGCAAAATCTACCCAAAGTATTTCAGGATCCTCGCCGGTGCTACAGAACCTGTGCACTGTGCTGAGCTTCTTCGGACTCAGGCTTGAGTTAGAAGAAAGAATGGAGCACTTATGGGTTACTACCCTTGTGCCTTGATGTTGATCCGTTGTTCAAACCTCAAACTTCTAGCCAGTGGTCCAGTTTGATTATATTCAAATGCATGATGGCATAGTGGATGGCTTACTCACTGAGTAAATGGTTTAAGTTGGTAATCTAAAGCTAGTCTGATTCAGTGGATATTTCTTACTGACCAAATATCAGAGTTCCAACTTCATCGCAAATGGATTACTCCATATTTGTTCTGTTTCTTTGCCAGTGAAAAACACACAGAATGCCCATTGCTATCTGATGTGAAAGCTCAGACAGCCGTCGAAGCAAAATCAGACAGCTCGCGGACGCATCAGATGAATATAGCAGCCGCCAGAGGGCAAAACCCACAGTCTGTCATTAGAATTGCTATTTATAGGTAATGGATGCAGTATATGACAAACCAGCAGGTGCACATCGATCACTGCATAAGGCACATACACATACATCAATTCTGTGGCAACCAGTCACTCTCCATT